GGAATGCTAGAGTGGTTTGGATTATTACTATGCCATGCAGGTGGATTTTGGGGAGTCGAGATGCCGTTATAGAAGCTTGTTTGTTTTTGGTTAGAGTTTGGTGGGCTTCTATTTGTTAGTTCAACATACCTAGGGCGTTTTGATTGTGTTGGTGTGCTTAGTAAGGCCTTTTGATTTATGTGGCTTGTTTGGCAGTCGTTTTCTAGTACTGATTGATCGGTCTTGGAGGATGTAGTAAAACTTATACTGCTATCTAAGGGTGTCACATGACTCGGTCCGGGGTCTGCATCATAGTTCTGTTCTGGTTGAACGTTGTTATTTTGTTGTGCCTCCCTCGTTTGTTTCTGACCAGCAGTCCTAAATACTTTTGCAGTTGCGCGTTTTTTATCATGAGAACTAGTAGCGGCTAAAGGTTCAGTTGAGGGACCGGAGTGCTGATTATCGTATTTGTAGCTGGTTTCTTTTACCCGAAGTTTACGTCTTTGCATAGGTGTCAAATCTGGACCTATAAATGAGTGTAGGTTCCGCATATTTCTATTTAATTCGGGATTTTGTAGGACAATCTCAGCTTCCGCCTGTGAGTAGAAGGTTACTAAGAGGGGTTTGTTTTTGCTTCTGGAGTGAAGTCTTTTAGTGTTAGCTACTCTGATATTAAAGCCACAAGAATGTATAAAATTTTGAATTGATGGCGTCGGATTAAATGTGTGGGGTATATTACGGATAATTTAATTGTTCTCTGCCATGCTGATGGACGTCTATCGCGACGAACGCCCCGGGATACGCATCGCCTACAGAACGGACGGTCGTCTGCTGAATCAACGGCGCATGAGCTTCCAATCGCGCNCTGATTGATCGGTCTTGGAGGATGTAGTAAAACTTATACTGCTATCTAAGGGTGTCACATGACTCGGTCCGGGGTCTGCATCATAGTTCTGTTCTGGTTGAACGTTGTTATTTTGTTGTGCCTCCCTCGTTTGTTTCTGACCAGCAGTCCTAAATACTTTTGCAGTTGCGCGTTTTTTATCATGAGAACTAGAGTCAGACGTGCTTACTGGAGATCATTCTGCGGGGGCTGTGGGTTTATCATTTGGTTAACGCTGGCCTGTGTATTTCTTTTTATTAGTGCTAGAAGTAGAAGTAGTGGCTAAAGGTTCAGTTGAGGGAACGGAGTGCTGATTATCGTATTTGTAGCTGGTGTCTTTTTGCCGAAGTTAACGTCTTTGCATAGGTGTCAAATCTGGACCTATAAACGAGTTTAGGTTCCGCATATTTCTATTTACTTCGGGATTTTGTAGGACAATCTCAGCTTCCGCCTGTGAGTAGAAGGTTACTAAGACAAGTTTGTTTTTGCTTCTGGAGTGAAGTCTTTTAGTGTTAGCTACTCTGATATTTAAGCCACACGAATGCATTAAAATTTTGAATTGATGGCGTCGGATTAACGGTGTGGGGTATATTACGGATAATTAAATTGTCCTCTGCCATGCTGATGGACGCCTACTGCGATGAAAGCCCCGGGATCCGCATCGCCTACAGAACGGACGGCCGTCAGCTGAATCAACGGCGCATAAACTTGCAATCGCGCGCATCCACTACCACCGTCCACGAACTTCTCGTCGCCGACGACTGCGCCCTGAACACCACCTCGGAAGAGGAGATGCAGCGGAGCATGGACCTGTTCTCCGCCGCCTGCGAAAACTTTGGGCTGGTCATTAACACGCAGAAGACTGTGGTGATGCACCAACCGCCACCCAACTCAGCCCCAGCCCTCAACGCGCCGCCGCAAATCAGCGTGAACGGAACCCAACTGCAAGTGGTGGCGAACTTCCCGCCGAGCCCCACTCCCAATTCATCACCTTGCGCACCCACCAACCACTCCCCAGCCGACATCGAAGCAGCCGACTCTACCACCCCTCACTCCTCCCCGTCCTACTCCTCCTCCTCCTCCTTCACTGCCACAACGACGGCCACTCCGGCGTCTGTAGCGCACGACTTCACCACTGCCGCACCTGACACAACAACAGGCACAATCCCTGCAACCTCCATCATCAGAGGTGAGGGCCAGGACTACATCTGCCCTCACTGCGATCGCACCTTCACTTCCCGCATAGGCCTGATCGGTCACTTGCGAATCCATCGCACAGAGACTGGCAAACCAGTGCCTGGAGCACCAACCTACACCCACCAAGCTCAACTCAACTGCCCACACTGTCCTCGAACTTTCGGGCACCGCATGGGTCTATTCGGCCACATGCGCATCCACGACGACCTGCGGTAGACAACCGCCGGTTACACCACACATTCACACACTCCATACCCTCCTCCACCATCACCACTACGCATCAACAATCACCCACCGCATGCACCAACTGCCACCTTCCACGCAAGTAGGAAGTGTGCATCTCGACTCGGTCCCCATGCGGCCTCGGCTGCACGGGTGACTTGAGTCCGAGGCTAGCCCGACACATCAAGTGTCGTGGATAGGACGGTTGCTTATTGACGCCCGTTCTCGGTTCATGCAGTTCGTCACGTTGTGTGCGTGTTGTGTGTAGTGGCGGACTGGTGGGCCGGGGACGGGCTGAAGCAGCACCTTCCACGGCCCTCTCACGCAAGTGAGAGACAAGCCGTTCATCCCGCTTTGTGTGAAATCCTGGTGTTTGTGTGTGTATGGGGGGCCAGGTCGTGCTATGGCGCACGCAGGCATGGTCAGTCGACCGTGTCAACCACCGCGCCCATTCTCCACTCCAGTTTGCCGACCGGCTCGGACGGCGGCTGGGTGTAGGGATGGGAAGGGAGAGTGAGGTCGTCGACTCAGCGCATTTTCCTCACTATAAACAATCTGACGCGCTTAAAGCTATCACGGTGTGCTAAAGGTCGTGGCTTGGAAGGTTGCCAACTGACGGGGTACATTGGACCTCCTCCATTACTGGAGGCGGTCTGAGAGTCAGGCTGCAATGGCTCCTATTCAATGTGGCCTTTATGGCACTCCTACCACAGTGTGGGATCCGAGCCAGGCGTTGACGGCACGCCCAGGTGCGGCTTCGGCCGTGCCAGCCTCAAAATCTCTCGTGTGTTGGTTGAAATCCTGGTTATTTGTTGTGTGGACCAGGGGGTGTGGTGGAACGCCAAGGTGAGGATCCGTCCGAGCCATCCACCTGCGGCCTCCCTCGTCTCCGGTCTTCTTGACTCTGTCTTGACACCGAGCTCAGGCGGGGGTGGAGGAGAGAGTGTAGGTAGATGCTACGCAAGACACTCACTACGGTACCGCCACTGCGCACTGTGTGTGTGTAAAGGATGACGGCGATGGGGTTGGAGGTTGCCAGTTAATACCGGGGTGACAGGATAGTGGACGTACAAGGTTGCGCCGCTGCCAGTGTGTATGTGTTGTGTGCAGATGCTCCTTGTGCGTGTGCGAGGCGTAAGACCCGAGGTCGCATGTGCTGCTGCTGCTGGTATGAATGAATGCGATCTCGGCGCCCCACCATGTGTCAGTTGTTTTGTGCTGTTGTGTTTTACACCCTATGGGCGTGGATCTCCCATGCTCTCCTTAGCCATGCTCTGCTGCATAGTGGAGCTCGGCGGTGCACCCCTTGTTGGTCAGTCACTACTGGCCCAAGTTCTAGTGGGCCTAATAAAACAGCCGGCAGCAGTCATGTCGGTTGAAAGTACAACTCTATGCGGTGGAGCACTCGGCTCGTGTGTCGATGAAGAGCGCAGCCAACTGTGTGAATTAATGTGAATCGCAGACTGCTTTGAACATCGACGTCTTGAACGCACATTGCGGCCGTAGGCTTGCCTACGGCCACGTCTGGCCGAGGATCGGCTTATAAACTATCACGGTGCGCTAAAAGCCGTGGCTTGGAAGGTTGCCAACTGGCGGGATATCTCGGTCTTCCTCCTCCCCCTCTTCTTGGGTCAGCACTAGCACCATGGTCTGTCGGTGGGTGTGTGTTTGCTGTGGCGGTGGCGGACCGTGAGCCAGACTGCAATGGCTCCTTTTTAATGTGGCCTTTATGGCATTTAAGCAAGTTGCCTCCGTTGTCGTCTTCGTCTTGGTTGTCTGCGGTGGTTTCTCCTCATCATCTCCTGCCTGTTTGTTGGTGCGTGTTTGTGTTAGCCTGCGTCCATTGTTTCTGTGGGGGCGCCGGTGCGCACTGGCCGTGGCTCAGTGTGTGTGTCTGTGTGTGTGTAGCACGCCGTGCGAGCATTAACAACATATGGTGGTAGTGGTGGTGGTGGTGATGATGATGATGATGGTAGAATGATGATGGCAGCGGCAGCAACTACTGCTTCTTCTTCTTCTTTGCCTGACCTCGGATCAGTCGTGAATACCCGCTGAACTTAAGCATATCACTAAGCGGAGGAAAAGAAACTAACCAGGATTCCCCTAGTAACGGCGAGTGAAGAGGGAATAGCCCAGCACCGAAGCCTGCGGTAGGTTTACTGCTAGGCAATGTGGTGTTTGGGTCGACTCGCGGGATTGCCACTCCACTCGAAGTCCAGCACTGAGTATGGTTCCCTGGATTTGGCCCAGAGAGGGTGAAAGGCCCGTGCGAGTGGAGGTTCAGACATGTGAGGCAATTCACCAGGTCGACCTTCGAGTCGGGTTGTTTGGGAATGCAACCCAAAGTGGGTGGTAAACTCCATCCAAGGCTAAATACAAGCACGAGTCCGATAGCGAACAAGTACCGTGAGGGAAAGTTGAAAAGTACTTTGAAGAGAGAGTAAACAGTACGTGAAACCGCATAGAGATAAACGGGTGGCGTCAAGCTGCAAGCCTAGAGGATTCAGTTGATCGGTGTGTATGCGCGCCTGGCGTGTCTGTCGGACGGACAGTCCACTGCGAAATGGTGGGCCTGCCTTTCTTCTTGGGGGGCAGGATCGGTGTTCCGGGTGGTTGCCGGTGCCGGCTGTTTTGTCTGTCTGCGCAGTGTGGATGGACCGGTCAATGCACTTCCTCTATTTGGTGAGCACCACGACTGGTGGAACTGCCAGTCTGCCATAGTCAAGTCGGATTTGGTCGGTGGCTCTCCTCGTCGTCTTGGTGTGTGGGGGTCATCGGCTGAGTTTCGATCACAGGCGAACTCAGTGAGCGGCGCGTGTAGGCATTCGCTTGCACACGTGTTATCGAGCACTGGTCGTCAACGGGTCTGCCTGTCGGTTGTTGTACAGTCGCCGGTGGGTGTCCTGGTGGGCTATGGTGGTATGAGTAACTGTGCAGGGCACCAGAGTTGTCGGTCTCTAGTTTCCGTCTCGTGCGCACACTGTATGTGGGCGTGGGGTGTTGCTGTAGGCTGCCAATTGCTGGGTCTGATCGTCGTGTTGCCTGCGCAAAGTGGGCCCGGCGGTGGTCTGGTGTTGGGTGGTCTGCATTTGTGTGTGATGCCTCCTGTGCGAGCCGGCGTGGACCAAACAGTCTGTGGTGTTGTGGTAGACGAGCTACCCGACCCGTCTTGAAACACGGACCAAGGAGTTTATCATGCACGCGAGTCAATGGGTCCACCGAAACCCAAAGGCGCAGTGAAAGTAAAGTCTCGACTTGTTCTCGGGATGTGGTGAGATGCCACTGTTTCTCGCACCTCCCCTGGCGCGCGCAGCTTGCTGTGTGTGTGTTTGTGGGTCTGCAGCACCAGGCAAAAGAGCAGTGGCCGCATCACCGGCCCGTCCCATGATGTGGTCGTTGGAAAGGCGTGGATCGTTTTGTGTGGTCTGCGTTGGAACCGGCGCGTCATCGGGGCGGAGCAAGAGCGTGCACGATAAGACCCGAAAGATGGTGAACTATGCTTGCGTAGGTTGAAGCCAGAGGAAACTCTGGTGGAGGACCGCAGCGATTCTGACGTGCAAATCGATCGTCAAACGCGAGTATAGGGGCGAAAGACTAATCGAACCATCTAGTAGCTGGTTCCCTCCGAAGTTTCCCTCAGGATAGCTGGCACTCATTCGCATGATCAGTTTTATCCGGTAAAGCGAATGATTAGAGGTACTGGGTTCGAAACGAGCTCAACCTATTCTCAAACTTTAAATGGGTGAGATGCCCGGCTCGCTTTATAGGAGTCGGGCGCTGAATGTGCGAGTGCCAAGTGGGCCATTTTTGGTAAGCAGAACTGGCGCTGTGGGATGAACCAAACGCTCGGTTAAGGTGCCTAACGCTGACGCTCATGAGATACCACAAAAGGTGTTGGTTAATATAGACAGCAGGACGGTGGCCATGGAAGTCGGCATCCGCTAAGGAGTGTGTAACAACTCACCTGCCGAATTGACCAGCCCTGAAAATGGATGGCGCTGGAGCGTCGGACCTATACCGGGCCGTCACCGCAAGCTGGATCGCTGGCTCTGTGTGTGTGTTTGGTGTGAGCAGCGTATGGCCGGTTGCGTGAATAACAATCGGTCGCTGTCTCTTGAAGTCATGATCCAGGCAAGGAGGCGGTGGCGAGTAGGAGGGTCGCCGTGGTGAGCGTGGAAGCCTCGGACGTGAGTCTGGGTGGAGCCGCCACGGGTGCAGATCTTGGTGGTAGTAGCAAATATTCAAGTGAGAACCTTGAAGGCCGAGGTGGAGAAGGGTTCCATGGGAACAGCAGTTGGCCATGGGTCAGGCGGTCCTAAGCGATCCGGTGTCTCGGTACAGAGACGTGGGGTGCCTTGTTTGTGTGTGTCGGTGTGTGGTGTTGCTGGCAGCCCCCCGGAGCGAAAGGGAATCGGGTTAATATTCCCGACCCTGCCCACGGAGATAGGCAAGCGTTTGGCTGGGCCGTCAGTGTATGCGCTTTTTCGGTGTGTGCAGCTGTGGTCCGTGTCTGGGCGCTGCTAAGCGCGGTAACGCAACCGAACTCGGAGACATCGGCTTGAGTTCCGGGAAGAGTTTTCTTTTCTTTGTAAGGAGTGCTCACCACCCCTGGAATCGGGTTGTCCGGAGATAGGGGTATCGCCTCCGTAAAGCACCACCCCTCTTGTGGTGTCCGGAACACTCTGGTCGGTCCTTGAAAATCCGAGGGAGGCATTATGATTTTCGTGGCAGGCCGTACCCATATCCGCATCAGGTCTCCAAGGTGAACAGCCTCTGGCAATAGAATAATGTAGGTAAGGGAAGTCGGCATATTTGATCCGTAACCTCGGAAAAAGGATTGGCTCTGAGGGCCGAGTCAGACACGCTGGGCAAAGAAACGTGTCTGCTCAGCCTGCGGCTGGCTAGTCGGCTAGCTGGACTGTGGCTGCTGCTGGGTTTACGCCACTGCCGTTGTGTGCGAGTATGCTGCGCCTCCTCCTCCTCCT